GCCCTCAGGGCGACAAGGACTCCGATCTCTTTGCATTCAATATGGCGAGCACACCAGAAGAAAAGCCTCAGCGGGCGACTGCTGCGCAACTGGCAAATAGGAAGTAAGTGGATGCGATTCATGTTTGCGATTTAATTCACGCATCTCCTGTCATCTCTGGCGGCGTCTTTATTCACTGAATGGGAGAGGGGCCACCATCCACACCAGCCTCCCTATTGTTGTGTTCATTGTGTTGCTCAAATTCTTTTTCATTTGTCTTTGATTTTTTCTGTCTCCTCTCCTCTGTTACCTTAACACTTTCCACCTGAAAAAGTTCTCCAACTTGAATTGTAACTGACAACATCGGCAGAATTAAGGATATTCGCAGACGACCACGCACGAGTACGACTGCTCCAAGTGCTACCGGAGCTACTTTTAGCCCTTTCAATTCTATCGATCCCAATACTGTCTCGGGCTCCCAGCCTGCGACGAACGGCTTCTCTTTTGGCCAGTCTCAGTCTCACAGTTTTCCAGGAGCTAGTTCAAACCCAAGCCAGCCCACTCAGAACGGAGGATCACCGTTTGCCTTTGGCTCAGGAGGTGCTGGTCCATCGTCCTTTAGTTTCTCTACATCCTTTGGTGGGTCAGGGTCATCGGGAAATCCCTTTGCCACTCTGAACACTACTGCGCCCAGCCAACCGTCTGATAATAGTGGGTTTTCTGGCTTCAAAGGCAGTATGTTCAACGTACCACCCGCCGGAAGCTCTGCTCCAGGCCAGCAGTCTCTGCCTTCGGGCGGTCTCTTTGGAACTGGCTCGCAGCAGACCACTGCTCCTGGAGGCATATTTGGAAGCACTTCCACTACTGCACCTTCAAGCCAGCCTGTGACGACGGCACCCTCCACTGGCAGCATTTTCGGCCAGAATAACACCACTAGCACTGCTCCATCTACAAGTCTGTTCGGCCAGTCTACATCAGACAAGCCTTCTCCCTTTGGCCAATCCACAGCGTTCGGTAGCGATTCGATGCAGACATCTCCTGACCCAAAGGCCAATGCTGCCGTATCGAAGCCAGCCATCTTCGGAGGAAATGCTTCTCAGCCTGCATTTGGCGCATCCACAGGCTTCGGGAGCCCCGCAGGAGGTTCCGTTTTTGGGGGTGCTACACCGGCGGCTCAACAAACACCGCCTAAACCACTTTTTGGAGCAAAGCCGACAGAGCAGGCTACTCCAACCTCGACGCCTCTCTTCGGTGCTACTTCCCAGCAACCCACAGCAGGCGCTACGGCGCCTACGCCCGCATTGACCGCTGCTACGCCCACGGCAACGACAGCCACGACGCTTTTTGGTACTGCATCGCCGGCCAAGCCTGCAACGCCGTTCCAGAATCCTTTCCAGTCTTCAAACCTTTTCTCAGGCGCGCCCTCTCCATCAGCTACACCAAAGCCTGCTGAAGAGAAAGGACATGAAGACAAGATAGGCGAGGCAGCCCCACCCAAGACCGGCTTCCAATTCTCCTCCTCCACAACCGGTGGCAATCTCTTCTCCAAGAGCGAAAGCGCCGCTGCTGCGCCTTCAACTACTTCATCAACTGGCCTATTCCAGGCACCGGCCACGGGCAGCCTGTTTGCGCCCAAGCCTGCTTCTGCAGAGACTGATAAGCCCAAGGCTCCCGAGGCAAATCCTTTCGGCAGCCTTTTCGCTCCTAAACCGTCCACTACCACCCAACCCACGCCAGAACAAAAACCACCTGCTGCTGCCCCGTTTGGCACTCTCTTTTCTCCCAAGCCTAGCACACCTAATGAAGGAGCGAAGGGGGGAGAACCAGCGAAACCGGTCGCGTCTATGCCGGTTGTTTCGTCTGCAGCTCCACCATCACCCAACCTCTTCGCGCCGCAGCCTTCATCTCTCTCGACCACCGCTGCGGAGGGTAAAACCCAGTCACCTGCGTCCGCAACTACTGCGTTTCAAGGCGTCTTCAAAGCCAATGGTGCAGCACCCGATCAGCCAACACCTTCAGCCAAGCCTCCCGCAGTCCAATTCGCCGAGAGCTTGCGGCCGAGCAAATTGCCTACTGGACTGAGCGAACAACAGAAGAAAGATTTCGATCTTGTGTACAGTCTGCGTATGTTGAATGAATGCTTTCAACGCGAAATCGCTCGACTGAATCCTTCAACGGACGACTTCGACGCTACCGTGCTCTTTTACATGCGTGTTCGTGAAGTAATTGGTGCGCCAACCGCACCGCGCTCATATAAGCGGAAGGCTGCCGACGATGAAAGTGCTGATCTTGAGATACAATCAGCGAAGAAAGTCAAGCCCTTCGGCACCACTGGTATACCAGCGACCCCTAGCACCAACATCTCGTCACCTTCCCAGAAGATGAACATCGGACCAAGCTCCATTACGGCAACACCGTCTAAGCTTTTTGATACAAACCAGATTACCCCAACAACCAATGGGAAAATGGCTGAGGAAAAGGCTGAAACTGGCGCTTCTAGGGCTGAGAATCGTTCCGATAGTGACTCTGCCACAGCGAGCATATTTGCTCAGTCTTTCTCGAAATCGAAAGCCGATGGTTCAGAGGCCACAAGTGCAGTGTCTCCCAAGCCAGCTACCCCGGAAACCAATAAGCCTGCTCTGTTCTCTACCACCCCGTCTGCGTCTCCGGCGAAGCCCATATTTTCTTCATCCTTTCATACCAAGGAAAATGCAACATCCAGCTCCATCTTCTCTCAACCTACCTCAAACCCTGGGCTCACGTCATCGACAACCAGCGTCAGCACGCCTGCCCAGAATCTGTTCGTCCCGAAGCCCACAGGTGACGGGAGAACCGAGGCACCAGCCGTTCCCAAATTCGGTGCCGGCACTGCGACGAACTTTTTCGCTCAATTCAAATCCATTGCCGATAAGAATGCTGAGAAGGAAAAGGAGAAGCGCAAAGCAGAGGATTACGACTCTGAGGAAGAAGACGAAGCTGAATGGGAACGGAAAGACGCCGAACAGCAGCGCAAGAAACGCGAGGAGTTGGAGGCTCAGTCTAAAAAGCGCGCCAAATTTGTTCCAGGCAAGGGATTCGTCTTCGAGGATGAGAGCAGCGATACTACGGAACCCAAGAAACCAGCAGAGGCATCTACTTCGACTGCCAGTTCATCCGTCTTTGAAGCAAAGCGAGACACTCCGGTCAAAGCGAACAATATATTTGGTCATCTCTCTGCGACCCCATCAGAGGTAGAAGAGGATAATGATGCTGACGATACTGAAGAGGCGTCAGCTGCTGGGGAAGATGCTGATGAAGAGTCCAAAGAGTCCTCTCTGGTACCGGCCAGTGACCGCGACGGTAGTCGGGATGCGGAAACCAGCGAAGCAGACTCCAAAGCCGTTTCGGTCAGCGGAGCCGAGTTCTCTGCTAATGACAGCAGCGACGACGGCGATTTTTCTCGAGCTCTGACCAAGTCAAAACAAGCCTCGAGCGGTGGTAAAAGTTTATTTGATCGGGTTCAGTACGGTCAAGACGGAAAGCCTAAGCGGCAAACCGACGAAGAACCAAAGAATCCCTTCTCTTCCCTCTTTAGCCCTTCGTCCAAGTTCTCCTCTTCCATGACGAGTCCCGGAACGTCCACCCCGAATCCATTTGGCTCACCCAGTACCCCTGCGCCCAGCCAAGGTGATTCTGCCGAAAGTAACCCAGCATCTAGTATCTTCAAGCCTTCGGTTAACACGAGCGGTGGTCTTTTTACTTCCGCACCGGCAAGTACTGGAACGAGTACGCCGTCCATCTTCGGTCAGAGCTCGTCGAAACCAGTAGGTGACAAGACCTGGAAGCCAGATTCTCCCATCAAATTCGCCGACTCGACTACGGCACCTTCGACCACGTCGAAGCCAGATTCTGGGCCCACCGCTCAATTAACCGACTCCTCAAAGCCATTCTCTACTCTCTTCGGCGCGCCAGCCGCAGGGGCGAAGGCGTCTGGCAGTGGACAGTCGGCGCTAGGGTTCTCCTTTGGTGGTCCGTCACAGCAAGGCTCTTCCTTCCTGGCTCCTTCCACTGTCACTTCCGCTACTGGCAGTCGCGCGTCGACCCCCGGAATGACCTCCGATACTGGCGCGGAGGAGTCTGTAGATGGAGAGGCTGCCGAATCTCTACCCCAGGTTGATCTTGCTCGCAGCAGAGCGGGCGAAGAGGACGAAGACATTGTGATAGAGACTCGGGCGCGTGCATTGCAGATCAAGCCTGGCGCAGGCTGGGAAAGCCAGGGTGTTGGTTATCTCCGTGTTCTGAAAAATCGCAACACTTCTCGCTCTCGCATCATCCTGAGAGCCGACCCAAGTGGCAAGGTTGTCCTGAACACAGCCTTGTTGAAGGATATTAAGTACACCATTAACGCAAACAGTGTGCAGTTCCTGGTTCCCCAGGCTGAAGGCGCCCCGGAACAATGGGCTGTTAGAGTGAAAGGGAAGGAAGAAGCTGAGCGTTTGCATTCCGCAATTAAAAAGTCCAAGGCGTAAGCACAAGCTGTGTTTACATATCACGAATCGGCGTTGTACATTTGGTCTATCCCGAACACTTGCGCGGCTTTTTCTTACGACAGTTTATATCGATTCCGTCCGGCCATAACCGTGATTCCCATGGTTTATGCAACGGGCCCTGAAAGCCGATGCTTGTATTTTTCTTTCCGCCAAGGAATCATGGTTGCCATGCGATTTCTTTGATCGGACTAAACTACTTTGTTATCTGTGATTGTCATGTCAATTTTGTCTTTTCTACCTGGAACCGTACTTTGTCCATTCTTCCTCATGTCTTTTTGAACCATGAGCACTCGAAGTTGGCGTCATTTTGTTGAACCATTTTTGCATTCCATATCCTCCCCTACGTTCAGATCATGGCCTTGTGTGTAACTATTTCGCATTTCAATTACACTACGTCATCAGCATCATGTTATTATCTATGGAACAAGACAGGCGCCTTAGCATAGCGGGTGGGTTCGAACCATTGCAATGCATCCTCCATCTAAATTTCATTCATACCTTATCCTTATTCATTGGATTCCCTGGCGTTGTTTCTTTGGCATGGCGCACGTCTATTGGTGTTTCATCCTCAACCGCCTCACCCTTTCTGCAGAGGCTCTCCCCACCTCTATCGCCGAGTCCCTGATTCTTCAACTGGATGGGGGCCTCGCCGCCGCGCTCTCCGACACCAGCCCCTGGAAGAGAAGTAGAAGGCGAATCCCCAATCGGGGGGATGTTCTGACCGGGATCAATGGATAGACTCTTCATACTGACGGAATATTGAGGTGTGAGTACAATTATAATTGATGGAGAGTCTGAGTCTGAGGCAGCCGTGGTTGAATAATTTCATTCCCAAGGATTGACTTAATCAGTCAGTCTACACAATAACTACTTATCCTTGGGTAGATAGCTTCGGCATCCCTAAATGAGTGATCAAAGAACTCTTACCGGGCCCTACATGTGTCGCTGTCAGAAATTCATGCTCTCTCTCAACTCCCTCTCCCTTTGACATCCTTCATCTTCTCCCCTCTTTTAAAGATCTTACCGGTCATCGAATACCTCTGGATCTATACAGTAAGGTTGCCAGATCTATCTCTATTCTGAGCTCTGGCCAGCCCTCAGTATAACAATAACTCACTCCAAAGTCCCAAAAGACGTGGTCTTCGAAGCAAAGCCAAAATGGAAGAACAGACCCAGCATAGCACTCCCTTTACTAAGTTCATTCACCATCCAGCACGCGGATTCCAAAACTTGGCAAGAGCTTTGCACACACATCCGAAGAGAGGTTCTTCAAGCACGATCCTCAACTGAAATTGACTACACTTCGGTTTCCCCCGACTGGGGCCCAGTGATTGTTGACTCGCTAGACGAGGACGGGGACATCGAACGCTTAAAAGCCGCGTAAGTAAACAATGCCAATCATCTCTATATTCCTTGCTAATCGTGCTCGGGCTCAGCATCAACTACAACTCTGTTACAGAGACCTTGCTAATCAAAGTCATCTCTACCCGTCTCTTTGGATGTCACTTTAACTGGATGCTTATCCAGGAACGCGACTGGCTCAGGCAGAATCTTGTCATGGATGGTAACCGCCGTCTTCTCACAGTGTTGGCAAACGCTAGTCAGTCTTCGGCTATGGATTGTATGGTATATGATATTGCTAACTCTGGGTAGCCCATGGGCGATTCGAGGCCCCGTACTCGGGTTCTAGGAAGATACCCACCTACTGTATGTGCCCAGACAATCGATACCACCCTTCATTCGTAATCGAATGCGGAGATTCTGAGTCCAAAGAGCGGCTCATAGACGACATGAGACTATGGCTTATCGGTGCCCGTCCATTTGTGAATGTCGTTGTGATAATCATGTATGCTTGCAAAGGTAACACCAACCAAGTGGAAGGCAAAGCTGAACTCTACGTTCGAGACGCAAGTGGCAACCCAGCCCTCCAGCAAGAAGCAGTGGGTTGTCTTCCCTTACTATCGCTGACCACGGCTCACCGTAATAATAGACCATCTTTCCTGCGACTCAGTCCGAGTGCGCACTTGGGATCACTGCCGGAGATCTATCCGGCCCAGTTCTCCCCCAAGATCTGCGAGCCGACACAGTTCTCCCCTTGAGCATCGATGACCTTCGAAGTCAGGCTTGTGATGCAATGGTGCACATGGACATGGTACCTGCAACTTAGCACAGGAATATGCTGGCTTAGATTCAGAAAGAACTGGATGATCATTGAGCATTAGGAAAAATATGTTTCGCTGGTTTTACCAAATCACTATCTCACAAATATCAAAAGGGTGATAATACACGACACCCCTTACCCGATCAGGCAAAGACCATTCTACTAGGAGCGAACTACTCACGATACGATTCTTTCAAAGCAAGAGGGTATAAGGAATTGAATTAAAGGATCTCCTGATAGTCACGTCGACTATAGTTCCTCTGTAGTCTCGCATCAATCGATACAATGCTACCCGATAGGTCCCACATGATGATATTTCACTCCGTACTCCCGAGCCTGAAAGAGAAGCACCGATGATCGAAGCTACAGCGGAAGAAAGAAATTTTCATTTCATGGAAATTTTTTTTATTGTTCCAAGTCAACCGTAACACAAGACCCGAGCAGGAAGCGATCCATTTATTCGTCAACAACAGCGGTGTGCAGACCCTTGGCGTCCTTGACGTTGACGGCCTGGACGTAGGAGTAGAGTCTCTCCTTGGCGCCCTCCTCGTCGTTACGCTTGCGGGAGATGCGGACACGGAGGCGGAAAGGAACGCCCTTGACACCGGCTTCCCAGACCTTCTTGTTCAGCTGGGGGTCGAGGCGGACATCCTTGGTGCCCTGATTGGCGGAACGCGAGTGGTTAGCTGAGCTGGACCCCATCCCATCACCTTCATGGGAGAGAAACTTACCATAGCCCGCTCAGCAAAGGCGCGGATCTCCTTGATGGCACGAGGAGCGCGCTTCTTGAAAGTAACACCGTGCATCTATAGATCGAGCAAAAAAAGGAGAAATTAGTCTTCCGCCCAAATGCCATCTGGTAGAGTGAATCTGCGAAGATGCTATTTGCGGCCATAGAGGTGGACTTCATCAAACTATTTCTTCTTTTTTTGTTGTCGTGTATTGTGTATGTTCCTCCTCTTTCCTTGGGTTTCGGATTCTGATCCCCAAGACAAAAAAAAAAAATCTCGCACAAGTCCTTCTGTAGTGGATTCCTCCTCACACACAAGGTTGTTTCGAGATGTTCCCATACGTTGTTCTCCGTCCATGCCTCAGGGTGTTTGGTTCCGCAAGGTCGCAAAAAGCCGGTCGATTCATTGACCACGAAATTGTGTGCAAAGGAAATCAAAAGCAAAGATCCAGCGTCTTCAACGTACTCTCTTGTGCATGTTGATGGTGTACTCGCGGGTGACAACGTCGGCGATGGCCGAACGAGTCTTCTTGCCGGTGGTCTTGACGGTGCTGGACATTTCTGGAACAGGAAGAATAGAAAATGTCAGTAATCTTCAATTCTGGGGGAAAAGAACTGCGCGACACAAAGATTGCGGAATTGATACTGACTGAATGGGCTGACAGAGAACGTCGGCTGTCGTTGGCGATGTGGTCGACTGTCGAAGGAATTGGGATTTTCGGATGTCCTTTTTTTGGTGGTCGAAATTCAGTGTGGCTCGCTTATCGTCTGGCAACACTCTGATTGGGTGGTTTACAGTCACGTGATTCTATACCCTCCGCGGCTTGTCGAAACTGTATTGAGGCTACCTTTACAAGCTAATCCCTGTTTATAGTTGTTGTACTCGGAATAGGCAGTATTTGTTGGAATTGACGTCTATTTGTCATAACTCATTTATCACTAGCCCAGGTTGTTTCTCCTGCCAGAATGCGACACTAATTGTATCCTCTAAGCGTGTCATTTCTCGGCGCTCACATCAGGGTATAGGTCAAAACGTCGCTGAGTAGAGACGGGGATGCCCTTTCGAGTGGTCTGAATAGACTCGTTGTCTAGGTCTGCGTAGATAATCGTCTCCGTCTCGGCTGCTTCTGCCAGGATCTCCGCATTAGGATTGACGATCACACTGTGACCCCAAGCGTGGTATGTCGCGTTCATATCACGAGCCGGGCTGCACAAGCCAACATAGATCTGGTTGTCAACCGCACGAGCGCGACCAAGGAGTGCCCAGTGAAGAGGGCCAGTAGTCATATTGAAGGCGCCGGGGTAAATCAGCGCGAAGGCTCCCTTGCGCGCAGCGATCATTGCCGACTCCGGGAAACGGATATCGTAGCAGATGGCGAGACCGATCTTGCCATATTCTGGGAGATCGACGAGGGTCAACTGGTTTCCAGGCGAGAGTACTTCGCTTTCCTTGAACGTAATCTTCCCGGGGATGTCAATATCGAATAGGTGCGTCTTGCGGTGTGTGCCAATGAGAGAACCTGTCGGCGAGAACACAAGGGACGTGTTGTAATACTTCTTTGTCGAAGTGTCCAGCTCGGGGATACTGCCTCCTACCAGGTATGCCTGGGCTTCCGCAGCGATGGCCGACAGAGCATGATATGAGGGGGATTGTTCTTTCGTGGGAGGCGAAGGGAGTAGTGTCTCGGCATACGAAGGGAAATATTGTGTTCCATATGGCGAGTTGAAGCATTCAGGGAGAACGATGAGCTTCGCGCCTGCTTTTGCGGCCTCAAGGACCTTGGTCCTTGCGAGAGAGAGATTAACGGCTTTGTCCGCACCTATGACCGAGTACAACGTTAGTATGGGCCGAAGAGATCATGGATGCTTGGAACATCGTAGCGCACCTGAAGCCAGCTGCACTAAGGCTAGCTTAAGAGGTTGTTTCAAAAGGGCAGCCATGACTGACAAATGCAACGATAGTTGGGAAGTTGAGGTTATCGGTGGTTGCACAGATGCGGGGAACTTTCATAATAAATGGGGTCGAAGTGGCGGCCGATTCCGGTTGCTTTATCAGTGTCGCTTTCGAGGGCTTCCAGACTTCAGGCTTTTCTAACCGACAGCCGCTACATTATTGTATTTCCTAGGATTGTTATGGTCATTTCTGACCAGATGAAAAACATCAATTTGGTTCCGTTGGCTTCCAATCATGGCCGATGACTGTCTTGCATACTGTTCCCTTGCAAGTTGCCCGTCAGTTGCTGTCGGGGGAGCAGAGTCTGTATGCGGACGCCGGCGATTCATGCTTCGTGCCGGTGCATAGCAGCAGAGGCGTGTTGTAATTCCGCTTACAATAGTGCTCCTTTCAAGAGATTTGGGTGCTTTGTTTATATTGATCAAAAGTTGGACGATCTTCTTCTCGCGAAGTCTGTGCTACATGTTCGGTCCGGCCTTTCTCGATTCCCTGCAATGAGACACAGCACAATCATTCTATGACAAAAAACTACAATGATGACGCCTATTTGCATAGTTCTACCGTTTGTTTATGAAAGTGAGGCCTTCTTTGACCGTGAAAAGCAATGGCTCGGTTACATACAGCAATTAGGGTCAGGCCCAGAGACGAAGATCATGAAGTTCTTCATGCCAAATCCAATCCATTCGACAGTTCGACTTGCCCAGAACCAGGATAGCCGCAGGGGGCCTGGTAGTAGCCATCCTGAGGAAAAAGAAATGATGCTTCTGGGTGAAATCGAGAAACGGGTTCTATTAGCCGGTTACCCGTTCTGCTGTGATATCAGACCCAATCCAATTTAATCACGTCTCCAAGGACGGTGATCGACCGTTGACAAAATGGGTTCTTTCTCCGGAGAAGGATGTTATCACTCTTCAATAGTATGAGGGGGCGCAATTCCTCCATCTCGTGTACGGAAAGCCAATGTCGTAGTTGGCCCTGACGGCTTCATCATAGAGATCACATCAATCGATCTTCAGCCTGCGAGTCCAGATGGGTAGTCTGTTCCTCCTGAATTCTTCAGGACATGAGATCAATTGGACGTTCATGCAGTTGATTCTGACTACCGGTTGAGTGAAGCCGTTGGGGATCACATATGGCATATGCAGGTCTCCTTGAGCCTTGCAGATATGTCTGCAGATCGCATAATGTATTGACCTTCCAGCTTTAAGTAGTCCTTCAAAATGGACTCATCACAGATGAGGAATCACTTCAATATATTGAATGGTGGGACGTCTATCGCCATAGTGTAACTTGTGTGTCCGTATCAGTTCCGAAGTATCGAACCTAACGAGAAACGACTACTCAAAACATCAAGGCGGATTATCCTCAGGCCCGTCATAGACTCATTCATCCTCCTTTGAAGCTTGTAGTTTGTAGTCCACGGAGAGACCAACGAACGGGATAATTTGAGACGAGAAGGAGAGGCGAATAGCACGCTGGCTGAGTCAGCGAGTCTGGCCCCTGAGGAATCAAGTGCACGGAGAACTCTCTGGCTTTTCCTGTGACGATTCCAATTTAGATACGAAGCGAAGCGTTCATAAATAAATATGGAGAAAAAGGGGCAAAGGACACTCCCTTATCATCTCTTGACTCTCTTCTTCTCATCGTTCTTTTCTTCTGGTCCTTGAATATCGAGCCATGGATAGCCGGAGGGTGCCTTTCTTCTGCCCACCAACCATCTGCCTGTGATTCTCTTTCCGCTGGTGAGACAGCGTCACAGCCGCCCACTGATTCCCCACGGCCTTCGCCTGTTCCGTTCATTTTGCCCCAGGGTTCGGACATTTCTGTGGCTTAAGGCCTTAAGCAGCCTTAAACGCCCCCAGTACCACTCTTTTTGCTTGGATCCTTTCTCAATTTTTTTACTGTCTAGCGTGGATTTTCTTTTTCCCGCAGCGCAGCGGGACGGGAGAAGTCCGAAGTGGCCAATCTTGGTAGTCCCTACGCTTTATTAAGTTGTCCGAGACGCGCTGCCGCCTGATACTTCAATCCTGGTGATACGCAACACTCATTGCCATCAGATGATTTAGGCATATACAAAGCCAACAGGCCGTTATTATCAGCGTCCCAGGCAGTCGTTTCGAAGATCGAGCCCGGCGTCATGTTCGAGGACTTCTCCTTCTCTTCACCGTCGTCCACCAGACCTCCCCGGCTGGCGTTCGACGGGGACGATCGACTCATGATCGATTGTGATAGTTCTATGATCTCGCCATTGTCTTCTCGATGCCCCTCACCTAGATCGACGTCGTCGCATAAATTTCCCCGGAGTTTGCATCGTTCGCGCTCATCACACTTCCGCTCCCCTCAGCCGCCGACCTCTGTTCCGTTCTCCGCTTACGACGGCAAGAGACTTTCCATTAGCACATTGACAAGAAAGCTCCATGAGCATACTATCCAGAGTCAGTCTCAGGAGGAGAGAGCTGACGACGTGCCCACCTCACCGTCGACTCCCCGGTCGGTGTCCGATATGGGGTCGGCATCTGGACAATTTCATGGATATTTCCTGACGCCCCCGGACACGGACCATGACGACGAGGGATACTGTGACTCGGCGTCGATGGCCTCTCTCTCACCCTCATTGTCACCTCATCAGCAATCCCCCTTTCTGGGAGCCATGACCGCCCCGCTGGACTTGACGTCGCAGGGTGGGGCTCGCGAAACCCTGTTGAACAGCGGACTTGATACTACGATGAACATTCGGGCACATAGACAACATATCTCCCGCCTGCAATGCAATCCTTCGGACATCGAAGCCATTAGACGGGCTCTTATTTCTGAAGATGAGCCATCGGAGTTCGACCCATCCAACGAAGACTGCTGTCATCCAAGCTCACTTCCTCCGCAGCTGTCGCCCCGGAGGAGGGCTGTCACGCTCAGCCGGAGCCGTTATCGACCGATAACCGCCACTTCTGGCCTTTCTGATACATCAGGGATTGAGCATCGGGACCGGAGGAAAAGCACTGCTGGCGTTCCTTCATCTCACCGTGTCGAAAAGAGCTATTGCCTGTCATCGAGCCGGGACTACCGCAAGAAAAGCGATCAAGGCTTGAGAAGGAAGAGTCTGGTCAGCGCTGCCTTGGCTTCTGTGGTTGAAAAGGCACCACAGACGAATGTTTGATCTACTACCCCCCGAAAGACTTTCCCTTCTACTGTACATATTGAGATAGATACCAGGCCTGTATATACTTCGTCAGTGCGTATCAACTTGTTCATTTCACGTTCACGTTCACGTATTCGTCGCTCTCGTCTTAATCCTCTCGCAACCCTACCAACCGTCGAGACTCTTCCCACAGTCTCTCCGCGCTCTCCTGATCCCAAATATGCATCGCATACCCAGGATCAACCGTCCGAAACCCCAGCTTCGCCGGCCCCGATTCCCTACAGTCCTCCAAATACTTCCCGCCTTTACCCTCCCACTCCCTCCCCACAGCAGCCACCACAACCGTGGCAGCCCCCTGCGCTTCCGTCTTCAGATACGGCCTCATCCCAGGCTTCCGCCACTCCTCCATCACCCCATCATCGACAAACTTCTGCAACCCGGTGAAAATAAGCCCCGGATGCACACTAAGCCCATGCAGCCCGCGCCCCCCAAACCGCCTCTCAATCTCATTCATCATATAGATATTCGCCGTCTTGCTCTGCGCATACGCCAGCGCTGGGTCATACCCGCCCAACTCGAAATGCAGATCCCCAAACCGAATCCCGCTCTTCCGGTGCGCCGACGACGTCACGCCTACCACGCGCGAGTGGAATTGGGGTGTCACAGACCGCAGCAGGATAGGTTTTAGCAGCTCGAAGAGCAGGAAATGGCCGAGATGGTTCGTCCCGAATTGTGTCTCGAAGCCGTCCTCTGTGCGGCCTTCTGGTGTGGCCATCACCCCGCCGTTGTTGATTAGGACGTTCAGCTTGTCGCTTTGCGAGAGGAAGGAGTTCACTGCTTGCCGGATGCTGGAGAGACTGGCTAGGTCCATGTGGAGGAGGCGGATCTCGCCTTGAGAGGATGAGGTCGAGGGTTTGCCGTCTGCATCAGAGGCAGGGGTAGAGTCAGAGTCAGAGGCAGGGGCGAGGAGGTCGGCCAGCACGTGTCGGGCTTTGGGGATGTCGCGGACGGCGAGGAAGAGGGTTGCGTTTGTTTTGGAGAGGGCGCGGGCGGTTGCGGCGCCGAGGCCGGAGGAGCAGCCTGTGATTAGGATGACTTTGTCCGGGAGAGCGTGGGTGAGGTTTTCGGTCTGGATGATGGAGAGGGCCGTTGGATGGTTTTCCATGTTTTGGGGTCAGTATGGAGTTCGCTTTGAGCTGTGGTGGACTACTGTGAGTGTCTGAGGTTTTCGTCTATGGGGTATATCATGATGAACTAACCCAGGGCTTGGTAACTACGTCAGAATGGCGAGACGCTTGCATGACCTCCCTCACTTGAGGTTCAACCTTACCCACGCCGAAGATGAAGAAATTAAAGTATATATCAGGCTAATCTATCGCAATGAAATAGATACCAGCTCCAGGCTGTCGTATAGGAACCCACTCACACCGCGGTGTCTCTGACACGGCACACTGTCAACGCTATCGTCGAAAAAGCCGGCCCCTCCGCAGAGCCCGCGCAAAGCTGCGTAATTTTCTAAATGGATTGCGCTTAACGCGCTTCTTCCGATCTGATGAAGACCCCCTGGTCGATTCGCTCCGCTGCATCTCCTCGTACTTCATCGCGAGAATATCGTCTGTGGTGCCCGTCCATCCTGCCCCGTCGTAGGAGGCTAGAACTGAGTACCCTGGCTCCCCGAGTTCGCTTCCGTATGATTGCGCCGTCATCGGCCTGGACTGTGGAGGCGAGCTCCACTTGTGCGATTGCGGGATATCGGTCTCATTTCCCTCTAATCGTTCGGAGATGGACGGCATAGGGTGATACGGTATGTCGCCGATGAGTTCGTAGTGTGCTTTTTCTTCGTCGGCGTCGGAGATGTAATGGTCATGGTCCTGCTTGTGGCCATGGTTTGCCTCAATGGTTTCGTCATGCTCCAAGATCATGGTCTCGCTCTGAGGCCGTGTTGCGTTGAACGAGTCCCGCTGGTCGTCTGTGATGGACGAATTGTCCACGTCTTCAATGTACGAGACAATGCGGGCGAACTTTAACGATTCATGCGGATTAAGGATTTCGAACGAGGTCCCCTGATGTTCAACTGTGGCGGTTGGGCGTAGCAGTTCCAACAGCATCGAATCCGAGCGGGCTTTGGCATGTCTGGGAGTGAATGTTTGCTCCTGCAGCTCTGGCTCCGGGAACCGGGCGAGCCTAGCTCGGAAAGTTTCCTATATCTTGTCAGCTCAGTTAAGGGTGTGGTTTTCAGCAAACTCACCAGCAATTGATGCGGGCTATGTACGGGACTCGGACGGAGCGTTTGCTCTGAAGTGTTGATATCTGAGAAACTGGATGGAAACGAAACTATGTCCATTAGCATATCCTCACACAGCATGACAGCGGACTAACACGTACGGAGTGATTCATCAAGCCCAGGCCCATTCTCACCTCGGTATGAGACGGGACTGGGCGTATATGACGGGGACAGCGGAGGCGGGCTCGATGCCGCAGACGAGACGGAAAACGAACACAATGGGGGCGTCAAGCTCGTTTGGCTTTTGTTCAGATCCAATGCTGCGTTTTTACGCCGTAGGGTCCTCCCTCCGTTGCGGTTGAAGGCGATGAACCCGTCATCCTGCGAAAGAAACCTCCGGTAGTTGTGCAGGGATAATGCTCCCGGATATCCCGGCTTCGGCGTTGCGGCATCGAAGCCGGTCGATGAAAAAGGAGAGTCCAGAGTTGGAGATTTGAGAGACTGTTTTAGTGGTGGGTGAAGCTGGAGAGGTTCATGGCAGCCGCTTTGCCAGATTTGATGGTCATGATCGAGATTCATGATTGCTTGTCTTTTTGAAGGTTCAAAGATATGTTCCTCCCGCTGAGAAAACACCTTAGAAATAAAGGAGCGATGATAGAGAGCCTGTCAATGAACAAGGCCACTGTCTGATGGCATTGAAGGTACAAGTACAGGTACATGAGGCCAGGACATAATCCGACCGTTGGGCCATGAATCAAGACAAAGAAACAAACATTATTGTTCTGACCTTCTGTAGTCAGACTCAAACTATAAACAGAAAAGGAGAGAAGAAGAGAGGGGGACGAAGAGGTTGTAAGAGATAAAAGAAGAAGAGGCAGATGGGCCCTGGACAAAAAAAGAAACAAGCAAACGTCACATTGCCAGGTCAAAATCAATAAATCATGGAATTAAAAATAACCAGCATGTATTGATTTTCTTTCTGCATCAAGGGCGCCCTGTCGCTGCTTATGGGCGCCACAGATGGATTAAGACCACTCACTTAGAATAAATGAACACGCACACTATGCAGCAGCCCCTTTAAATATTTAGATAAATTTGATATTGATATTAACTTACTGTGGAGAGAATGACAGGTGTGTCTGTTGCGCTCAGAGTGGCTTCACTAAAGCTGCTACCGTTAAACACTACTTGACTTACCAGATCACTCATGGATTCAAGGATGGACATCCCTTAAAAGAGCCTAACCCAACTACTTTCTCTTAAAGGATGCTGTCATTGGAATGGATTTTTAGAGTAATAGAGCTTGAGAGTGTCGGAAGTATGTGAGTATTCTAGAAGTTAAAGTGGCCCACAACCTCATGTTTGCATTCCCTAGAAGAAATCGAAGAGTTACCGTAGGCATCTCTATTATAGTAGAATCAAGCACATTAGCATTATCCAACTCAATAACCACAGTAAGAATATTGGAATAAGCATGTCTGTTATAAGTTCATATCCCGCTGTTCTCCAGTGAGGACAGTTCTAATCATTTCAATCCCTTGCTCCGATCATGCCACTAATGTTTCATCACTGAAGTGGTTTCAGCTGGTTCTATACAAACTAGCCAGTTGGTGTCAAAACAATTCACAACTACCGTACTTAGCCAGAAACACAGCAAGAATGATAACAGTAAGCTGATGCGTGAGAGCTGTATTCTCCCATGGCCGAAACATCTCTCCATTTGAGGGAATGCGTCTTTGGGTATAGTGCTATAGGGTGACATTCATTTAGAAATATGATCATTATTTGTCACTGGTCTTCGGACACAAAGCAGTTGATTGACGTTCCTACACTACCTAGTACTTAGTGCCATGTCCTATCAGCCAGACTTAGGGGATTGAACTTACTGGCTTTGAGATCCAAAACTGTCCTGGTTGTCGCTTGATCCAGCATGCTATGGGATTGTAGCCTCCATTTTGGAGAGAGAGTAAGCTCCCAATTTTGTGAATACTTAGAGAGAAGCCGGAAAGTCATCAAGAAGGTGGACATTGACAGAAGAGACTTGCAGTGATAGCAGATGCTTTGATTGAGATAAGTGAACACAGCGGCACTATGGCATAAGAAACCTATCATTCATTTGCCTGAAGGCGAAGGCCATAGTAGTTTAGCCTCAGGTGTGTAGTCTTGGACGTATTATCAGCAGTATCTAGTTCCTGCACGCACTCGATCAATCCACGCACAACCCAGAGAGACTCGCAATAGCTAAAGCGGCACCACATCAGGCTGAATATACCCTAGAGAGCATCAACTGTCGAACAGGCTAGCGCACATGCAACCCAAAACGAACTTGATCCTCGAAATCGGCAGCGTCCAATCGACAGCCTCAAACCCACCCAAAACAGCGATGACCAGTCATCTACGATCCTCCCCATCAACCGTCATCCACTGAAGGTCACAACTTCAAACGAACGACCATCACAACCATCACAGACTAAAGGTACGGTTTACAGTTCCACACCTCCTGGTTGGGCACCGAAACGTGGCCCCAATGCCGAAGCAGAATCAACCACCCTCTCGTCACACCAGATGACCCATCAAATTTTTCATTTTCCCTGTCGTGTCGATGATGATCCACTTGACCCTCGATCAACGATGATCGATCACTGGTCTCTCTGCTAGTGCCGATGCCAGGAACTGCAAGCCATCTTTGTTTCAGTTTGGCCTTGCGACACCCCATGAACGAACTGAGTTAAGCCTCCTGGTAGGGATCTGGAGGCGAAACCCGCTTCTGGGGATTCTATTTGTCACTTGCCCTTGCGGTAGTCTTTATTGCGGGCCCTGACCTACCACAGACTTTTCAATAGGAAGACACTGATGATTATGGTGACGATATTATTGTCTGACATGCAACTTGAAAGGGTCTGGCAGCGGCACATGTCGAACGGCCCAGAAGAGGAATTCTTTGGGCCGAGCGAACTACACTGACACTCTGGCATCGCTGTGTCTGTGTAACTTTGAAGGCGAATAAAGAAGGGCTTTGGTTGTCTTTTCTAAGGATCTACGGGTTAAAACACGGGCCCAGAGTAATCGCGCACATCGACACAGCCTATCCTCCTTCGTTGCTAGGACAGTATGAGGCAATCTCATTCAAGTTCATTCGAACATTAGCAAATTGCTTTGAGTTCGTCATATGCAAGGCTAGTAGACAAAAATCCCAACACCAATCTATGCTTTGACGGGAATCTCAACAGAGTCGTGAACATTTCTCAAGTCATTCATCATCGTAGACATCATTGATCTCGAAGGCCCGCCTGTCAGCTAATCAATATGTACCGGGAAACAGTCTGGAAATCGGGGATATAGAGCAGGAAAAAAAAGTAACAATCATAGCATAACGGCATGGACGGCTCGCCTGAGATATGAGCAGTGAAAACAAGGTATCATCTTGGTCAAAATAGCGCAAAGTAAGGTCAAACTGCTCAACATGATCAACAATCTTAATGGCGTTTATATTTCTAAGCAGAAAAGTCAGCAAGCATACTTGAGAGACATAGTTCACCACGACACTTACATCTTCTATCTTTCGGCGATTGCTCGGGTCCAACGTGTTTCCAGCCCCGAGGAGCGTCTGCCCAACGGCCTTGGAGACTCCAATCGCAGGTCGAAGGATAACGGTTGGAGCACGTTTAAAAACAGCCCTAGCGGCAGCTTTCGCGCTACCACTCTCCACGATTTCGCCAGGAACAGCAACGATGGCATCCCGTGCGAGAAGCAAGTCCCTTTCCAAGCCGCGGAACGCACCCCGGAGGCCTTGTACGACACCCACCGGTTGATCCGCATAGGGCGAAATCTTATTCGCCTCCTCTTCGTCATTCATGTCTTCTTCGGAGCCCAGTGTCGGCGCGGTCGGTGTGGTCAGCAGCTCCTCGGCTCCTTGCAAAACCGTTTGAGTGCCAATGGCA